ATCCTGTATAGCCACACCCAAAAGGAAGGCCTTGGAGGCCGCCACACTTCAGGTGGAGTGAGTCTTGACCCCCAAGGGCGAGGGGAGACCAGAGGACTTGTAGGACATGGAGATGGCATCAACGATCCACCAACTGAGGGTCTGCTTAGTAGCAGGCAGACCCCTTTTGGAAGGACCATAACAAACGAATAATTGGTCAGATTTCCTCCACATGGCAGCTCTGTGGATGTATGTATACAGCTACGCTTCTGCTGGTCTGCCTCCTGAAAGGGAGGAAGACAGAAGGCCTGTAGTACGACGGGCCGTGGCACAGAAGAGGGCACTCTAGGGACGTACCCCAGCCTGGGGTACAGAAAAGCTTTGGCTAAACCAGGCACAAAGTCTAGGAAGGAGGGGGCCACAGACAGGGCCTGCAAATCTCTGACTCTCTTCAACGATGAAATGGCTAATAAGAAGACAGTCTTAAAGGGGGTCATATGATGTTGCTAAAAATAACATTATTTTGTGTATTTGGTGTAATGAAATGTGTTTATGTGGTTTAAGGTTAAAAAACACATTATTTTCCACATACTGTACATTATTGTTTCTCCTCTATGCCCCGCCTTTCTGAAACGCGTCGCTTTTGACAAAGCTCATCGGTCTGAAAAGTGAGGTGTGCTCTGATTGGCCAGCTATGCAGTGCGTTGTGATTGGCCGAATACCTCAAGCGTGTGATGGAAATGTTACGCCCCTTACCATACTGTGATGCCGTGTCCCAGGGCGACGAGACAAAAACATGAAAACCCATTATAAACTAGGCATTTGTTGCATTCAGTGGGGACATAATTATGGATTATAATGACTTATACTGTCTTTTCACGCGTTGCGTTGCATCGCGCCGCGTAAACATAAAACTATGTCTGCATTTGTGATCGGAGAAATTACAAACAACAAGCACTACTCTACACTGCTCAAAACTCGCGTTTTAATCATCAGTGGCAAATTATTTAACTATGAAAACGTACTTACAGACTGAGAGTCAGAACAGCTGGCATTGTAGTCTACTCTCCCAGGATCAGGAAACAGTCCTCCATAAAATGCGCTGCACATATCTGAATATTTGGGTTGAACTGTTCTGGAACAGTGTTGTAAATACAACTTAACCACTGATTTCTAGTTGTGTCCTCTTTTGGAGGGCCAAACAAAGTATTTGCAACAGAGTCTTCACAACATGGTGGTGGCGGTGGCAGCAACAATAAAGTTACACCTTCTTTCTTTGCATGAACATTTGGGCGGTGTTATGCAAATCTTCTCACATCGTGACGTAGACATGTGGGGGCGTATTTAAATGAGGCATTTTAAAAGGGCTTGGACCAGTCTTAACTTTTATAAAGAATATCTCTTTGAGTTTGAGACTTTAGTCTTTGCAACTTTAGGGATCTTATCTATTCATGAACAGCTTGTAACACTCCAAAGAAAAAGGACAACTTGAAATCACATCATATGACCCCTTTAAGTGTCAAAACTCAATCTTAAACCTCCTCTATAGGTTCAAAAGGAGGTTTACAGAGAGCCTCCAAGACCATGGCCAGGTCCCACGCTGGGACACGAGAGTGTACCGGGGGCCTCAGCGCACCGCGGAGGAAACGTGTAACCAGGGGGTGTCTTCTCACAGACTGACCCCCAAGAGGGGTGTGGTAAGCCGCTATAGCCACCACGTACACCTTCAAGGTGGAGTGGGTCAACCCAGTGGAGAATCGAGCTTGCAAAAACTCCAGCATTGAACCGACCGGGCAGTTAAATGGGTCAAGCTGATGATCTCCATACCAGGAAGTGAAAAGCTTCCACTTCAGGGCATACAGTTTCCTTGTTGAGGGAGCTCTGGATTGGAGGATGGTCTCAACAACCTCAGTTGAGAGACTGGAAGCTACGAGTTGTGTCCCCTCAGGGGCCACACCCACAGCTCCGGGCGGGGGTGAAAGATCGTACCCTCTGCCTGTGAGAGGAGATCCCTGCTGACGGGAATCTCCCATGGAGACCCATCGAGAAGGGAAATCAGGTCCGAGAACCATACTCTGGGCCAAATATCTACTAGCAGTAGACTGACCCCGTTGAAAGTATGCATCCTTTAGATTGATTGTGACAAACCATTCCTCGGACCTGATCTGAGACACTACTTGCTTGAGCGTGAGCATCCTGAAATTCAGTCGCATGGCTGAGCGGTTCAACTGGCACAGATCTAAAATCGGACGCAACCCCCCATCCTTCTTCATAACAATGAAGTACCAGCTGTAGGGTCCACCTCGATGGCTTACTTCCTCAAGAGAGTGTTTACTACTTGTTCTAATACCAGAGCCTGCTCAGGACCCACCACAGTGGAAACGATCCCGTTGAAATGAGGCGGAGGAGAACCAAACTGAATTCTGTCACTTCTTTTTACAGTCTGCAGGACCCATCGTGAGATATTTAGCAGAAGATTCCACGCTGCCAGAAAATCTACTAAGGGAATCAGTCTCTCAAGACTGACCTCCGGTGTAATAGGAGCGGCTAGTTCGGTGCCCTGAAGCGGAGGACCGGCAGGGAACGACCGCACGAGCCACTCTGGAGACCTCCTTAGAGGCAGTGATCCTCCCAGAGCCGATACGTTTTCAGGCGGAGACCGCTGTGCCCTGACGCACTGGCGGTGGCAGAGTTAACAGCTCGGTCTCCTGAGGGCACTGAGGAGAGACGGGCACCAGGTAATGATGTGTACACTGCTCTTCCCCAGTGGGGGCTGCCCTCAGAAGCCCTGGAACATAAATATCAGGGCTTCTTGGTCGAATACTTCTTGGCCAAAAGGACGGTACTCAGATCAGCCTTCGGCTTCGAAGCCTTCAACCGCGAGCGTCACCATGAGCCCCGATTCCCACGCTCAATTTTTGTGCCTCCTGGTACAAGGAGCAGGCACACGGCTGGGACTGCTCCCATCCAGCAGCCCCATGAGCTAGAGAGAAGCGAGGGAGGAAACACCGCCGCTTGTTTACGGACCTCCTGAAACCGCAAGCGGGATGTCGAGAAGGAAGACCCAGTCCTTCTCTTTAATGTCGGACAGGGTCAGCCACAGATGCCTCTCCGCGGCCACTAAGGCTGTCCGATAGCTTTGGCGGTCTCTTTTGTGGTGCGGAGAGACAAATCAGCGGTTCGCCAGAGTTTGCTAATATCATCGGCTTTAACTCCATCATGCTCATTTAACTCATTTAGTAGGTCCGCTTGGTATGCCTGTAATACAGCCATTGTGTGAAGGCATGAACCAGCCTGACCTGCTCCCGTGTACCCTTTGCCCACCCGCGCTGAAGTGGCATGAAGCGGCTTGGTAGGCAATGCTGGGGCTTTTAGGGATGATGCCACGCCAGGAGACAGATAGCCCACAAGCGTCTGTTCAACCCGGGACATCACCCTATAACTGCGCTCACTTAGGCCCAATCCCAATTCTACCCCTTAGCCCTTACCCTTTCCCCTCCGTTTCGCGCGTTCACGTGAAGGGGTAGGGGTGTCTCAATTCTCTTTTGGTTGGAGGGTTAGGGGTAAGGGAAGGGCCAGACAGCCCTTCAAATTAAGATTTTTCGGGACCACACTTCACACGAAGGGGTATGAATTATCTCAGTGTAAACCGGCTTCAGGGGCAACATGGCTGCCCGAGCGAACAAAAAGACACATAAATGTAAGCATTTTTGGCATTAATAAAGATTTTAACGAAAAGTAATCATTTGTTTTATGTTACATTCAATCGTGAGTTCATATTTATGGTCATGTTACTCAAAGTGATGTTTGCAAAACATCGCTAATATTTGCTAACTAACGTCATATCATATCACTGCACGATAGTGCCACCACATATTTTCATGTCTGATCGGGGCGATAACCACCGTAGACATTGGGGGGGGCTAGTCCCCCCAATAATTAGAAATCGCTAAACCCTTTT